TGAGTTATATAATAATTGCACACGTGGAGTAATTAGAATCAATTTAAATCGAAGACACGTGTCAGAGTTTTTTTTGTTTTATAAACAACAAACCACGAGAAGACACTGTCAATTGATATGGAAAAAATGTGAATTGACATTTCCCCCCTCCTCTCTCTCTCTCTCCACGTCTTAAAATTAAACCAAAAGGATCCTCCCCCCCCCGATTTTAATTCGTTTGATGCGTACTGGATAAAAAAATAGCAGTAATTCTTATCTGTACTACTTGAAGTTTATTTAAATTAAAATTTAGGCCCCCCATTTTATTTTTTTTCGTATGTACCTTGCAAGATAAGAAATTTAGACGCTTATTTCGAAAAGAAACCGAGATAGGAAAAAAAAAAAAAATGTACGATAATAATTCAAATTAATATAGTTAATTACACCGACATTTTTGTTTTTCTTCAACTTTTTTTTTTCCTTTCTCTAAAATAATAATAATAATAATAATAATAATAATAATAATAATAATAATAATAATAATAATATTTGAATAATATTCAATCATGGTTTGATTTAGAATCGAAAATATCATCATCATCATAACTCGTTCCGTTTCGGTTTTATTTTTTTCTATTTAAAAAGGTTAAATAAATTAACCTTTTTTTTTATTTATAATTTACGATTAAAAATAGGAGATTTAGTCTTTTTAAACGAATGGAAATAATAATAATAATAATAATAATAATACATTTGATAATTTTTTTAAATTTTTTTTTCGAACGACTACGCGGATCGTTTAACGTTCTGACAATTTTTTTTTTTTTTTTAAATAAACAACCTTAAAATTCGATTCATTCTATATTTAATTTTTCAATCAACGAATAATTTACAGAGAGAAAGAGAGAGAGAGAGAGAGAGGGAGAGAGGGAAAAGTCAGGATCTGGTATATTTACCGCTTGCAATATCACAATTAAATAAATAAAAAAAAAAAAAAAAACATGGCTGATCGTATATAATATAAACACAACAAAGACTAACGTAGTAAAATTATATAAATAAATAAAAAATCACGCCTACGCATTAAAAAAACTCGGGGGAGAAAAAGAGAAAGAAAGAGAGAGAGAGAGAGAGAGAGAAAAACTTTAATACCTTCACATGTATTCGAACAATAACAACAACAACAAAGAACAAATCGAAAATACCTTAAAAATATTATTTAATAACGATTAATTACGATTTCCAACATTAAAAAAAAAAAAAAAACTCTTACGACTCTTATTATTATTATTATTATTATTATTATTATTATTATTATTATTATTATTACTATTATTATTATTATTATTATTAGCTTTGGTAACCATTTTAAAATCGAAAAGATCAATTCTCCATCTTTTATTAACTTTTCCTATTCTAAAAAAAACTGCATCAAAACGGTTATTAAAAGTTTAAAGAA